TCATGAAAATTAGGTGTCAAAGAGTAATCAGAATGAGAAAGACTCGAGTTAGAAATCTAAAGAGGGGAATTCCTCCTTATAGTTCAAGTTCTCTTATAAATGAAACTTAGGTGTTTTCTGCTTTTTAAAAAAAATTCATATTAAGCCAGGTTGTTTTGTTGATTCTTGCTCGACATCTCGATCAATTCTCCTTGTCATTGTCATGTCATTACTAGCAAATCATCATAAAGGAAGGATTAGATGGTAATAATAATTTTAGCAGTATAATTGACTGCTCCGGCACAAATCATGAAGATCATGTTGCAGGAAAGAACAAATTTAATGAGCCACAAGCAAACTAAGGCCGACAAGCCTTCAATGAAGAAAGTAATGGTGGATGGGCATCAAGGCCAAGATGTTGAGAAGTTTTTTTTTTTTATTGAATTGGCAGTTATAAATAATAAAAAAATTCTTTAGTTAGCATATGCTCCATCTTGTTTTGCAGAGATGGAAAGCATGTTGAAGAGGCATGAGAAGGAAACATCATCTACAATAAAGTTACCATGAAATTTTTTAACTTAAAACAAAAAGAGCAAGTTTGATCTTTTCATAGCAGAGAGGACTTTATTGAGAAAGAGGACGGTATTTCAAAAAAAAGTTAAGAATGAAATGAAAAGAGGTCTACAAAATCAACTTCTTAGTGCAATGCATGCAAGTATGTACCTCTCGAGATGCCTGAAAGCAACAATGCAAAGCAATCTTCATTCCAAAGAGAGGTTTGGGATAGCCCAAAATTCAGTTAGAAGTGTCAAAAAGAAAATAAAGTACATGGTGAAAAATTGTAACAAGAATAAGCAACAATATACTGCAACCAAGTTGATAGAAAAATTATTTCCATGAATGAGAGCTTATTGCAAGTGGTCAACAAGAAAAATAACATAATATCTGACTTAATAAATCTAACGATGAATTTCATAAAGCCCTTCAGAGAATGGAAATTGTAGATGACCTCTATAGTAAAAATAATTTAAAGTATTAGGCTGCCATAGAATCCTCAAAAGTTTTGGAAACTCAATCACAAGACATGAAGAACTCAAAATAATTAACTACAAAGAGATAATGATCGTGTCATTATAATTGTTCTAAAATAATGGCAAATCACTATCGAAAAAGGTGAGCAATAGAGTAAAGTTAAGTGAATTTCAAACTAAGTGAGTTTCTTGAGACTTCAATATCATGTTGATTCAGATCTTTCTCCTCAAATAATAGTTAACATAGCATTAATGATCTTCTGGCCTCTTAGGGTATAGCAAGCTACTATTCAGCAATTGGTGAGAAACTCCTTCAGATGTCCATTCTTGCTTAGCTCCTCGAGCAGTGCTTGCAGTTTTCTGTCATGGTCGTGATTGTTATCGTACCATCAAAACTACGACTTGTCTCCTTTGGTAAGGTTTCTCATGGGAGTAAGCCGTTTAAATAGTTAGCCTTCTAAATGGTTGATATGACAATGATGAATAGATCGTTAATAAGTACTACATAGCTTCATAGTGCTTCTCTTGTGGCATAAGAAAATAGCACTTCCAGATCAGCTAGATGAGAAATTTTGAAATGACCCCCATAACTAAAAAAGTCGAGTCTTCCTTCTCTTTTCTAGTTGAGTTAGTAAATAGTCAAGATTTGGCTGACAATTCAAGACTCTTTTACAAACACTTCCATTAAAGAATTTTATTGTTTTTTAAAGTAGGTCTGTCACAGTCATAGGAGGGTTTTTAGTAGCCGAGAACTTCAACTTATAAGATTATAAACCTAAGATGAAGGCATCTTCAGCTATGGACTTATCGCTGCTAGTGCCACATGGGAGGCTTTATTGAATCTTGACACATCCGTCAACCTTTATCCTTCATTTTGTTTGATGTAGAAGAGAAACGGAGAGTGCCATTAGCGGTGTCTTAAATGCAAAGAACAGTGTATAGTATTTCTTGAGTTTACAAAGGAAGAAATGTCCTAAATCGACATCCCCTTTCTCTTGTTGAGTAGGCAAGCAAGTTGGGTGACAGGTGCAGATTAAAAAAAATGTGTTGTATGAACAACATCTACAAGGATAACAAGTTGTTAGTGAATGGCTTTGAAGTAGAAGTGTCTAATCATTAATAAGCGGTGAGTGTCATTGCTAGAGGGTTCTCTAACAAAATGCTCAAATAAACTGAATTAATTTGTGGATAAGATTCAAACTAAATGTTACGACTAAGATAGTGCTATTCCTACATTGCTTTTTTCACTGCAAGTAATAATAAACTGTTCCACAGACCACCAAGAATGTGACTGACACAAACTCATTTACCTAGAAAGTGAAGAGCGGGAGAATCAAAAGTTCAAGAATGGGAACAAGAAGTACCATTCTTGAATTATTCTATGTGGAGACAAAGAAAGAAGTCACAACAGAAAGGGAAGACACAAGGTTTATAATGGTTTCACCGAGTGATCTACATCCACTAGAAGGTTAGTCAAGGAGAGATATACATAATATGAGAGCAACATAGTGCAACATACATGCTATAGAGTTACATATAAGACTTGAGACAAACAAAAAAGAAATTAAAATAAAAAAAAGATATGGGAGAAAAAAACTGAAGAAAATCTTGCAATGAGCTTGCAATCTCCTTAGTAACCTACTTTCCTAATGATTTTCTAACCATGTAGTGTGCATGCATTAGCATAATCCCTTAAAATTACTTTTGATACAAGACCTATAACGGTGACTCTCCTCCAATAATTAACTATGCCATAATGATTCTTTGACAATGAAGGGTTGAGGAACATGTAAAATGCATACATATGTGTTAAAATTATGGACTGGTCGAAGCGTTGCAAAGTATTGAAAGGAAACCATTCATGCGGTGTGCAATCAATACAACTAAATAAATGGAAGTATTAATACTATGATAATTTCTACATAGAACTCATGATAAATATTTCAAGGTTGAAGATGATGACAATTAATGATATGAGTGTGTCAGTAGTGCGTCTAAGAGGAAAATGAATCGAAAATAGAGAGAAATTGAAAAGTGAATCAAAAAAACCGTGTACTAAAAAGAAATTCTTACTGTGAGAGATGTCCTAAAAGGCACACTGCTTACAGGAATTCTCAAGATATTGGTTCATTAAACTTAGATGATTCTGCATATAATGTGGATATTCATGTTGATGGGAAAGACCACTTTTGAGACTTAAGGAAATTTTTAAGGTTTGCAGTGGGAAGGCCAGAATAATTGAGTCATTATAAAATGAGAGAAGGCTAAAGTCCCGCCCACTCATATGCATGCATAATTATGGTTAGCTTGGTCATTTACTAGTTAGCTATGACAACTTCACTATGAAGGGCACATACGCACATTCTTGAAAAAAAAGGGGCAAATTACGAATAAGAAAAAATAAAGACAAAAGCAAAAGGGGGACAATTTTATGTTTATAAGATGTGGCCTTAAAATATTAACATAGAACCACTTATATCTAAATCAAGTTCCCAAAAAGATTGTTTCAATAAGTCACACTTATTCATAAAAATAACGCACTAACAAATAAAAAAAAAATGAATCTTAATGCATGCATTAAAGATGCTTACTTAATTCTCCGATATCATCACAAGTCTTTCACCTGGGATACTTGTTCCTAAGCTTTTAAAAAAAAGGTTACAATTAGCCTCAGAAGATGCCTTGTTAACTGAGCGAGGCGAAAGTTCTGTTATGCACTTTTTCTTATGAATATTACTTCCATTACTACAAAATCCTCTGTAGGCGTGCTATAACTGGAGGTCTGCATGAAGAAGCTGACATGTAGTACATAAGATGACCAATGATGTGACTGAAGCGCCTTGATCAAACCATGAGATTTCGCATTATTACCCTCTACTGGTTAGTCAAGATACGGTGTGCATAATTGCAAGATAACCAATAAACTAAAAGGCTGGTTGGTTAATGCACAACAAATTAAGATACAAAGCTTAGGGTAAAAGGCAAATTACTCAACAAGAACAGCATGTGTAACAAACCAGTCACAACCAAAAAATTCCATATAGGTTTATGGTATGCGTACTAACTCTTAGCAAAGCATACATTAAGAAAAAAAAGTTAAAAAAGCAATAGCAGTAAGCTAACAGTGCAATGCAGTCAAATGAAAGAACTAAAACAAATAAACCTGAAAATAATATATCATGAATGCTTCAATTACCATGCAAGCAAGAACAATTAAAATGAAATAGCCCAAACATTACTTTGAGTGCTAAAACATGATGTGACAAGTAGCATGTAGAAGGAAGAAATACAGTGAAATGCAGACAGAAAGATTATTGAATCATGAAATGTGCATTGTCTGCAGAAAATTATCCTAAACCCAAGAAAAGGATAAAAAAAGTACTTCTTCATATCAATGCAAAAGTATAATTGGCCAAAATTCAGAAATTAAAAGCTGAGTGACAACAATATGGCAAGCTCTGTTTGTTGCAAAATTGACAAAAAAAATGAATAAAAAATTTAAACTAGATTATTCTAGGAGCATTTGTTAGCTTCTTAAAATAAATGCAAAAGACCCTTAATAGCTACTACAAAAATCAAAGACCCGATATAGGATTTTTAGAATAGTCAGATACTCCTCGTCATAATCAGAAGAGAAGGGAAAAATAAAAATCCAATCTCCATGAAACAATAGCAAAGCTGAAGGTTATTTCATTTATACAAAAAACAATACAGATATTCGGGAAAATTCAATTTTGAAGAGAATCCGTAAAATTTCTGAAGTCAAGTTGAGAAACAAAAAAAAAGTCTAAAACAGCTCCAATAAAAAAATTATAAAAACATCGCAAGAACATTAACCGAGCCTGCTGGCTCCGCGGCACCTCAGGAAGTTTAAATTTCAAAACTAAAGAAAGAACCCTATAATCTCTACATCAAAATCCATTTCAGAAACAAAAAGTGAAACAAAAACAGTTCCAATTTAAAAAACATAAAAGATATATGAACACAAACCTATTCCGCAGGCTCCGCCGACCTGATCCGCTGTCATCGCTGTCCTCCCCACTATCCACCTGATCGAAATCCATCGCGACAGGTTCACCGCTGCTCTCCTCGTCGCCGACTACCCGCGCCTCCTCACGACGGCGACGCCTGTACTCAGACCAGACCAAAGCAACATGTAAAACACACTGAAGGGCATAAACTGCGATCCAAACCCTCACGGGGACATTTGGCCGCTCGCAAGCTGAAACTGCGATAACGGAGGCGGAGACGACGGCAAATGAGATATTCCATGCTATGTCCACGGCGACCACCGGCCGGGAGTAGGCCCAATCGGCGCGCCGCTCGTCCAGCTGCCGCGCTGCCGTCTCTCGCACCAAAGCCTGTGGGCCACGCCGGCTTGTCATGCGACCAAAAAGCGCTGCAACACGGTTCTGACGGGTCCCCAAAGATCGCCGCAGAAGCGGCTCCGGTGAAGCTATATCCTCCTCCATACCTTTCCTTGACAGTTAATCTTTGCCTTGTGACTGCGTCAGTCACGAAGCATGATTGTTCAACGAGATTCTGCTGGTTCCTTCGGCGTCATCGGCTGTAGAGGAATGGACAGAGAGATGGCGGGTTTTGCAAGGGGTGCCTTGTTCCTCGACTTTCTATTGCTCGGTGTTGCCGGTTCTAATGGATAGAATACTCATATTTTGAGTTAATCATTTTGGTTTTTTAATTAGTCAAATTTTAAAACAAATGAGGATTAAATGAAATCCAATAATAATTCAATAACATAGAGAAATTTTATGTCCAGACTTCAGACGTAGCTCTAAATAAAGACTCTCAGTAATATAACGTCATGTGTGCTATTTCGGGTCACCTAAAAAATATTAAAGTGGAACCCCGAACTCCGCAATAATCCCGAAATAATCTTGAAATAACCCTAAAATAACATCTGCGGTTCTACTTTTTTAACTTAAAATAACCTCCCTGAAATAACACCGTGGAAGTTATTTTGGAGTTATTTATGGGTTATTTCAAGTTTATTGAAGAGAAACTCATATATTATACTTCAATAACCCAAAGAAAAATCTGGAAATAACATCTGCGATGTAGCACACGTGGCGGCATATTATTGGAGTTCGCATGTAGAGCTATGCGAGGAGTCGACAGAACTTTTTTCTAAATAACATAGACATAAAGTTCAAGAAAATATTGCTGGAAAAAACCACAAATCACGATTCCTCCATCACAGAGACGCGAAAAAGAACCTAGTCACTCATGCTAAAAAGAACTATGGAAATCAAATCCATAGAAATCATTGTTGCAAGTAAAACTAAAATGTAAAAACTTACAAAATAATTTGTTCTCTCTTTCATAGCAACAGGTTTTTCTCTATACAATCTCCTCTCAAAATCAATAAGAAATACAGAAGAACAAAGGAAAAGATAAAGCCCTTAGGGCCTCAACCTCAAACAAGGAAGAAAATCCTAAGGATGAAGCTCTCAAATCCCTCAAACTCTGTCTCTAGCGATCTCCAATGGTCCAAGCCTCTTCCAAAGATGTCATAAGATCTCTTTTTATGACCAAATTCTCAAATTTGGCAAGATAATTCTTTCCAAAAACATTTCCCACTTCAACAGTTAGAGCGTGGTTACACTGCTAGTGTGTCGTGGTCACACCAGTTCTGACTGTTTTTTCATTGTTTTTCCTCTTTCTGAAATACGCATACGTTTTTCTGTAACTTGCACATCACCAACAAAAACATTCCATAAGTATAAACTGGTGATAAATAAGGTAAAATAACAGGTAAATTGCAGGAAAAAAAGGGGTAAAAGCACGTAAAGTTGATTCATGTCAATACCTCAAAACTTATAACTACTTGCCCTTAAGTAATATCAAACTCAGTGAGGCCACATGAGAATATTATAGGTACTCTTGTAGGTTTCTTAAGTATGCAATTTTCTTATCAAAGTAAGATAAAAGTGTATAATTGTTATTTTAGGGTCAATCATAATTAATGTTTAAAAACTTAGCCTTTTCCTTAATTCCCTTCATGTTGAACCTAACAAATCCCAAAAATTCTTAAATTGGTGGAGTTAAAATATTTTCACTGGCCTAGGACATTTTAGATCAATTCAAGTGAAAACAGTCAACCCAACCCTACTTAACATTTCTCTTGAAGGTAACATTAGAAGGATTTTATTAAAGAGCATGAAAAGTTTTTTCGCTTAGGATCTACTAAACAACCTCCCTAGTTTTTTTTTATCTTTTGTGTCAACCTCAAACTTCTTCTCAGACATTTTTTCCTTCTTGACTCTTTCTGATATTTTCTTTTCTTTTGTTTTCTTTTTTTTTCTTTATTTTTTTTTCTTGTTCAATTCCACTAAAAATTATTATATCTGGGTAGACAATTGTTTTCTTTTCTTTTTAAGCACTATGGAGGGCTAGTCTCACCTAAGTGATAAGTTTAAAAAAATTAGTTTTTTTAATGTGACCCTTTGACCGGACCCACAATTACGCAGATATTTATGTTCTTTAATATGATGAAACTTAACCCAAATTACACTTAGCGACTAGTGAGAACAAATATAATATGATAAAATTGTTTTCTCAGTAGGGGTAGTATATAATTATATGTATCGTTTCAAGTAATATAGAGTCTTCTTTAAAACCCTCAATATTGATCCCACGGGGAAAACGTAAATGAAAAAAAAAGAAATGAAATACAAGAATTTTTACTCTAAGAAAACTTTGCTTACAACAACTATTTGAAGATGAAAATTAAGTTTACTAATTTCTACAAAATGCAAGTAAAACTAAATGAAATAGTCTTAGAAAATATTTAAAAAGAGACTTTCTCCTTGCCAATAATTCATAATCAGTATAAGATTTCAAATTTTTAGAACTTTAAATGTGGTATTGTGACAAATAGGAGCATACATATTTTTTTACTTCTTTTAATTATGTAAAAAATATTGACTAATTTAAAGCTGGTGTCGGCATGTATAATAGTGTTGGGTAGGTTCTAGTCTCTCACTCCTAGATTACCCAGTGTGCCTTCTCTATAGAACCTACCAGTGACCCTGAGTTCCAATCTTTAGACCAAATTTATAAAAAAATCTAGCTTGTCACTCTATAAACATCAATTTTGTGCTCATTAAATGTTATCTCCCTATCTATTTGCACTCCCCTTCGGACGATCGCAGTTGCTCTTTCCAAGATGAAATGTGATACTTACAAGTTAAGAAATCTTAGCCCTCTCGCGTCTATAAATTTCCTTAACAAATTTTAACAATATAAATGACCAATTTGTAAGACAAATGAAGATTAGGTAAAAAAATATCATAATAATTTTTAGGAATAAAAGAAGTTCTAAACAAAATCAAAATCACTTACTTGATAACTTCATATTGCAAGGAGAAAGAGAGAAAACTACTCAAGACTCATGGGGATAACAAAACAAAGCATATTTATAAAACTCAAATCCAAAGTACAAAACTTAAAGACAAAGATACAAATACTTATCTTGCATGATTCCCTGTTGACCTCACTTTTGATTGAGGTCTAGAAAACTTCTTTAGTAGCCTAGGTCTAGCCATAGGACTTTCCTATTGACTAGTCTTACAAAATTAGAAAAGGTACCCCCACCATTAGAAATTCAAAGCCTTTCTCTTTACTCAACTTGAAGTTTCACATATTGATCTTAACTTCTAGCATTTAGTAGGTAAGATCATTGTGAGAGGATTCAAGAGGAGTTCCTATAGGATTACTTGGCCTTGGGATTGACTCTGGGTGTTGGTTTGGAATTAGGATACACAATATCCTCACAATATTTTAGCTAAAACCAATCCATAAGAACCCAAAATGAGGATTTCATTGATCCATTGTTCATTTAGAATGGATATCTATCCAATTCTATGTGAAATGCCCAACTAGGTCTTTTGCCCCTAGGCACCTCCAAATTACTTAATGGCCCATGGGACCCAAATTTGGCCAAAATTCCCAAATTTTGTCAAAATACCCAAAATTGATCAAAACACATTTCAAACACCTTGAATACATCCAAATTTGCCAAAATTGACAAAAATTTCCAAAAATGACCAAATTACCAAGATACCCCTCCATGACCCAAAAATCCAAAAATT